AAAAAAAAAAAAAGGCATATGTTTCATTGCTATATACCAACCTGGACAGCTCCATGAATTACAATACATATTTTATCTCTCTTTAAAAACGTACAAACTGCGCGAATTAAAGAATCAAATGAGTTAGTATTTATTGTATGTATGTTTTTTATTTCTCTCTTAATCAAGCCATAAAAAGGGTGATGAATGTTGAATGAATATGATAATGATTTTAGGCATTAATCATAGTTATATACTAATTATTTGTCTATGTATTGTACTTCTACAATGTTCTAAGAATCGGGTGGGATAGATATAATTTTCCCATCAGTAATCTCCACCATGGACCATGGTTGGGCGCCGATGGTAGCAAAAATGGGAGCAACAACCATCGCATCGACGGGCGCCGACGAGGCGATGGCTTCATGCCGATCTTTCCGATTTAATTCCCCACCGTTGCAGGGTATCAGCACAGCTGCACCTTTCTTCCCCAATTGCCCTCGAAGACTCCCCAAATCCCTCGTTTCGTCACTCCCAGCATCACTATTATCATCACCATCGTCATCATCATCATCCGTGGATAGCCCTCCAGAAGGCTACAGGAGAAGCGTAGGAATCTGTCTCATTAGCCCCTCCAAACAGGTGGTTTTCCTTCTCTCTTCACTGCATTGTCTTTGCATTTTGGTGTTGTTGTGTTTTGATTATCCTGTCTGTGCTTTTGGTTTTGTGTTAGATTTTTGGTGCTTCGAGACTCTACATTCCAGATTCTTGGCAAATGCCTCAGGTTAGTTCATTTATATCATCTGGGTTTGTGTGTGCTTTTGTGGGGAACACTTAAGTGGATGTATGAAATAGTTAAAGGATTATTATGATTCTGTTGTGCTCGAGGAAAGCGCTTCAATTAGAGGCCACCATGAATGTCATAGCTCAAGGGATGTCGAACACTAAATCTTTCAGATTCCTTGTTCTTTGTGTTAACTCCCCCCAAAACTATTTAAGCAGAGAAAGAAGATAAATGTATCTTTATATATTGGGAATGTGATATTCGATTGAGTCGGGCTGATCTTACAGTGTGAGAAACAATTTAGGAAAATTCGATGTGCCTGAGTTTACTTCATTAGACACTTATTCATTGCCCCATGCTCATGCAAGTTGGACCCTTGTTTTTATTTTTAATGCTTATATCCTGAAACTATTATGAACAATGTGTGGATTTGAAAGTGTGGTGTGATTGCATAGGGCGGTATTGATGAGAGTGAGAATCCTAGAAGTGCCGCCATAAGGGAATTGAGAGAAGAAACTGGAATTACTTCTGCTTTTATTGTTGATGAGGTATAGATGTAAACTTGACTCTTTGCATATCTAATTTTTTTGGCCCTCTTTGCTGAATATTTTGATTATATTTTGACTTGAAAAGGATTTATTTGTTTTTAATTCATTCAGGCTTCATGATGAGCATATAGAGATATCAAGTTCTTTGTTATTGTTCCTTAATGTTGGTTTGTTATGCTATTCGTCTCAAATTTGTCTGCAGGTTCCATATTGGTTGACATATGATTTCCCACCAGTTGTCAGGGCGAAACTAAATCTGAGATGGGGTTCAAACTTGAAAGGTCAAGCGCAGAAATGGTCGAGCCCACCCCTCACCTTTTTTTTTTTTTTTT